ACACACACACACACACACACACACACACACGCACGCATTGACACACACACACACACACACACATGTCACATTGATGCAACAAGGCCTTGTTGCACAGGCTCTGCACAAACCCATGCATTTCCTCTCTTATTTGGGCACACACGCCTAAACACAGACTGAGGTCTGTCCTTCTCTTTCCCCTGCCTCCTGTTGGTTTTTGAGGTCATCTGTCAATCAACCACTGTTGCTGCAGCCACCTGTCTGGTGTCCCAGCATGCACTGCAAAGCCTCAAATGTAACATGCTTGACTGAAGGCTGTCACACACCGATGAACCTGGGATCACTCACCGGAACCCGRGCACAAAGATGCACGCACTTCACTCTCACATTTCTGCTCTCAGATACGAGCTCAAGGACTCAAACACATTCTGTATGCAGATTACAAAATTCAAACCAAAAGAGCCTGATGATCTGTCAAATTCAGTTTGAATGAACTGTTTATGTTTGGTRTGATTACAAGGACACTGATCGTTCCTCTTCAATCTCCGTCTCTGATTTCTCTTTCTCTGTAGGTGGTGAGAGTTCCAGTGGAGAGCTGTGAGCAGTACACCACTTGTGGAGAGTGTTTGGGCTCCAGAGACCCCCACTGTGGTTGGTGTGTTCTCCACAATGTGTAAGTGCTACACACACACAAGCATGGAACAACACAACTCCCTGGTACACCCTTGATTTGCAACTCTTTTTTTTCTAACAAATATTTCTGGGGAGTTTTCAGCTAATTTTCCAAGTCATTATCCTGCATCCCTATTAAAAGATCCTTTGAAACCATGGAAATCTGACAGTTAAATGTTTGTTCTGTCCACACATTTATATTTATAAGAAAGTTGTCTTTAGTTCAGCAAGAGTAGTAACTTTAACTTTACTATTTTTTATGAATGCTTAGAAATAAAAATAAAAATATTACTTGATTTGTGTGTCTTTTTACTACTCTTTAAGTAATACATTTGTTGATTGCAGCTAATTGCTTTCTTCAATCGCTCATTAGGTATCAAGTTACATCCAATAGGTGCTGTTTCATGCACAGTCAGCATACTTTTTATAGCCCTGTCTCAGACAGATAGGGTCGTAAAAGTTCTCAAGTTTTATTACTGTCTGTCATTTTAATTTACACTTTTAAGATACGTGCCTTATTTAACAGCAATGACAGTGTTGCAATACAAAAACAAATGTTAGACAAAATAGTGCATGCAGAAACAACACATTTAGGATGTTCTGTCATTTTTATGTCATCACATAGGGCAGGTTTTATTTTCTAAACTGACAGCATATGAGTTAAAAACACCAGTTATTTATATCTACACAGTCAAACACAAACATCGATAAATCCACAAATACAACTTTAATTTGAACAGTTTGATTTATTCGAAGAATATTTTAACAAATTCAGAAATATGCTTAATAGCTGTCAAAGTATGCAAATTTTCAATGTTTTTGAATTTAATAAGCTTCTAACAACCAATTTCTGCATCATTTTATTATTGTTTGGGGGCTATTATGATTCAAACTCATTAGGGTATTTGTAAAAAATATTCCTCGCCTTTTGTTTATGGCAAAATTTGGCAATCAGTTATGGAAACTTATCTCTCCAAAGCCTATTTACATATAATCTTAGCCTCAACATTTGCTTTGACCCTTTTCATTGCTCAATATCCTCACCTAAAGTCACTCCACTCTTTTGAATCTTAACCTCACAGCTTTTAGTTGCTTGTTTTTTTTCAAGAAGAGAGAAACTTTAACCTGTTGTTTTTAATTTTATCGTTATTTCCCTGACTATACATACAGGGATTATTTTACTGACTTCTAATCAGAAGTCTTATATTGTTTAGAAATGTGCAGTTTGTAGTTCTTCAAAGCTTTGGCACCTGGATCACAATGATGAGTCAATATGTTTTTAAGATTAGCATAAATGCTTTTTTAGCACATGCTACGAAGGTGACAGTAATTGAATAAGTTTTATTACCTCTGAGATGTGGACACCAAAAGACAAGTCTGAACAATAGGGGGTTAAAAATACAGACTTTTCTCCACCTGGAATTGAGAGTCTACAACAGGTGGTTGACAGATGGTTATATGCATGGTTTATCAAATTAAAAATTACTATGCTACACCATCCATATGTTGTAATCTAACAATATACCAAACATCTCACAGATTGTGTTATGTAAAAAAATGAAAATACTCACTAATGGAAAATATTCAGTTAATTTGACTTGGTGAGGCTCATATGTTGGTAAATTCCAGTGTTTTGAGCCTTTGTTACAAACTAATGCAAAAATCATAAGTTGTTTTTTGCACAATAGGTAAAGGAGGCCTTTTTTAATCACAAATAAATTCATAATTTCTGTTTCCTGAAGTTCATTTGAACTGAACAAC